CATTGCATATTCGTAACTGTGCGGCGCGTCGTCGGCTGCTAGTCCGCCCGAAGATAGTTGTGGTGGGTAGGCTAGGTCGTAGGAGCGGGCCTAGGTTAGTGGGGTGTTTGCGGCGCAAGTGGAAACCGCGTGTCGAGAGGCGGAGGAGGGTAGAGGAAAGCTAGGAGAGAGGATTCAACCTCCGAAGGAAAAGAATAAAATAAAATAAGAACCATTCATTCCCTCTCAAGCTTTAAAAGATTACTAAGGGAAATTCGCTATAGAGTAAAAAGATTGAATTAAGGAGTTATAAGGATAAAGAGTAACGCCAACCTCCTTATCAACGCCCTGTCACCAGCATTACGAGTCTGGTCCGTCAATTGCTGACACCAAGCAGTCCGTCTTTCATTTCAAGAATTCATTCGCATCATCCATCGCAGCCTCTGCTTCTTTCATGAAACCAGTAATCTGCCCAGCAGCAAAGATATCATGAGGCGCACCAACCGTCTCCACCAATACAATCTTATTTCCCGGAATCTTCATCTGGTTCACAAAAGCAATATGACTATCATGCAATGCCTCCAATGTGCCCGTGTGCAACAAAATAGGGACGGATGTCGAGAAGGCATTGTTGTGAGGTGAAATGTATGGATGAGTCGCTTCCATAGAATCCGGTTTGTAAGCCCGCTCTCCCCACTCGACCAGCAGAGCGGGAATGTAGTCAAACTTATAGTTGTGATGACTGGCAGTTGCAACTGGGCCAATGGCAAGATCAACCCAGGGACTCCAGAGGAAACACGCACGGGGTTTTGGCAACAGACCCTTCTGGTCCTCAATGTAACGTAGCAGTGTGATAGCCAGGTTTCCACCAGATGAGTCACCGGAGAGGATGATCTGAGAAGCCGGAATTCCGAGCTCGACGAGATAGTTGTAAGAAGTCACCGCGTCTTGCAACGCAGCTGGGAATCGCGAATTAGGATATGACGCTAGTCTATATTGAGCAGCGAATACCAAACCGGAGATGTGATTAGCAAGTAATGCAGGTCCCTCTCCGCCTTCCATTGGTCGACAGCCACCAAGCACATAGGCGCCTCCATGGAAATGGAGCACAACGCTCTTGTCCTTATCTGTCGTTGGGTCGTAGGTCTTAGGGTACCATATAGCTCCCACCCTAGCTGGACGAATTATCGGGTCGTCTAAGACATCTCGATATAGACACCCTTTCGCTGAATCAATGGCGAGGAAAGTCTTGTCTTTCCCTGGCTCGAGGGATTTCGGTGGAGCCCATTCGATCTGACTGGCAAAATTCCAGAGCATTTTGAAGAGTGCTATTCCAACGGCTTGATGGAAGGTGTATTTCGGATGTTGGCGAAGGGGTTTTGGGAGGAGGTAGAGGGCCATGAGGACTAGACGTGGGGGAAGGGTGACGAAGAACAGGGTCACCAATATCCCTTTGCCGGGTTGGCGCGTAAGGAATGATGGCATTTTTGAGGGCCAAAGTAAAAAATAGAATACCTGAGAGGGCTGAGGAGTTCGAAGTCCGTAATCTGCTTGGGAGAAAACGGTATGAAAGGTAGAGGTAGGATGGAAAAGCAATTTTGAGTACAAAACTCTGGCCTAGACTGGGCAGTTTGAAGTTGCTTTGAATCGGAATACTGAAGTACTTAAGAAGACTGTTAGAAATCGGCCAGTAGATTTATAGTCGAGAAAATTCTTACTCCTTAATACGAGAGATGCCAAAAAGATTGGCTGAGATTGTTGTCGGTGCTTCAAAATTTAGGTGCCGAACGTACCCCCTGACATAAGCTTAAGGCAGGCCTCCGCTTATTGGCCCATATCACGACACCTAACTTGTGATTGGGAAAATTGGCGAAGGGTAGAATTTTGCCATATCCGCTCAAGGAAGCAGGGGGTTTAGCTGTATATGTCCATACAGAGCCCTCAGACTTCGGACTATTCAATCTCGGTGCTCTATGCACCATACGCAGCGATATGGGCAACAAACAAGGGGCTACATCTTCGGTACCCAAAAAGTAGTCTATATACCATTGCCAAATATAGACATGCCACGACTTTGCATTCCCCAACGCCCCAAAACCAAAGTTGTGGTAAGCCATGCTAAAAGCGTATCACCTTCTAACACCTGAGCTTTTCTCGTACCCTCTCCACCTCATCGTTAAGACACAAAAGCAAATCATTCCCATCCTCAAGCTCTCCAAATAATGATGACGATTATCGTGCTTCCCCCACATTAAACCCACAGATTCTGGTGATATATCCATTCTCCATTGATGATTTGACAGGCAGAAGTTAGTATCATTCCTTGAACCGAATCATAGTCCATATGTGAAACCCTCACTCTCTCCTCTTCTCTGATTTCATGACTCCCCAACTCCCCCTCCCCTTTCTTCAAGAGTCATCACCCAGCGTCCCACATGAGCGGCATATCTTGTATCCCAACATGACTCTCGTCTTGGTCTATCCTCGAGAAGTTTTAGCGCCATTCTCCTGACCGAGCCATCTCTGCATTTGCATACCACCTGAAGCAGATAGGCGATTGTTTCGCCATCAAACACAAAATACCTTTGCTTTGGCTTAGAAGCCAAGTATATATCAAGCAGAGAGACTATTTCCTTGAATTCAGGAAGGTGGGCATCCCAATCCGTTTCTCGCGTGTATATAGAGCCACAGACGGAGACCAAACAGGATTTAGCTTGGAGACATAGTAATGTTGCCTGGGGATACTCTTTCCAAAAAGTTCTAGGTGAACGCTGGAACCTGCGCATGAGGGGATTGAAGGCAGTGAACCATCCTTCCATCTCATCAGCACATGTTCGAGCTTCTTTCAGCCATTTATCAGGGACGGTTTCATTAGTGCCGGTCCAAGGATTCCATCCGGAGCAAGGACTTCGTCCGTATCGAATGTCTGTCCGAATCCATCTTTTCCCCTGCTCCATCGGTGTATATGGGTTGGGTTCTCTATCCGGATGTTCTATTATCTTGATAAAGTGCCAACAGCGGCTTATTATCATGTTTCCATAGGTAGTGGCTTCCTCGATGGTAGTGAATTCTCGAGGCATACTCCGGGTGGCTTGGCCCAAACCATCCCTCAAACTCTGATGTTCAGCTCCGCTTCGATAATCCACGAGGACCATGGCGCTAATATTGAGACGCGAGAATACAGCTCCAAGTTCATCTTCAACGGTGCAGGTCATTGGTGATGGGCTTCCTGATAACTCCGGAGGCGACTGGCCGCTGCTCGACATTGGGATGGCGAATCCTTTCGTCAACCTGAGGCCATTGGCTGTATGCCAGAGGGCGATATCACGGCGGCCATAACTATTTTCGAAGCAAATAGTAAGAAGGCATGCCATGAGCGCCATCCTTGCATCCATCTTCCCGTTCAAGATAGCTCTTCTCATGCGAAGTAGAGAGTGTTGATATTTCTCAACAGCAAATTTGTGGTCATCGCTGAAAAGGAGATGAGCGTCCCAGTCTCGCATATCTGGAGCCCCGCTGATGATCTTGTTCATAGCTGCGATAGCTACCACGGCATCAAGAATGAATGGTTCTGCCTCTGCAGCCTGTAGCACTGATTGATTCCAGAGGGTTGATGGCATAAAGCCGGACAGCTGTTCGGCGACATTACTACGAAAGAACTCGTGGTATAGATATTCTCGTTGAGTTTTGAAGCGGTTAGCAGAAGGACAATGCATTAACACCAGAGATTCACGCTTCAGAACTTCTTGGGCTTCTTTGGAGGGTGATATGCTGGAGAGCGTACTTCGCCGGGGTATTGTCAAAATTGTGGATGGGGTTTTCGTCAAGGGCGTTTGCCGCGCTTTGATAGAGGGATGGCCATTCCGCTGGGTTGAAGATCCCATCCCCACCGCCGAGTATGATGGGCTTGGGAGAATCGGGCGTACAGCTTGTCGTGGATCTTGCCGTGACCGTCTAACAGAGTAGCCGTCGCATTTCATTCCGAAGTTGCAACATCTCAAACACACAGGTTTCCCTTCGTCACATTTCACCCGTCTCACTCTGCTGCTTATTAGTCACAGTCTCCCCGGCTAGAGCGGTGACGGACATACTTGCACGTAATACACCCATTCTTGGATTTAGGTTTACTCATTCTCCTCCTTTTCTTGTCCTGAGGAAAGCTCTCGGGCATTTTTGGAAACGTGCTCGCCCAAATCTGACGTAATGTACGTGTGGGAACGTGGCTTGAGTGAGACAAAATAAGTAGTGAAGTATCTAACGTGATCGCAAAGCTTTCGAAAATACAAGTAGCAGAGGATAGCAGACTACAAACGCTTCATAACAAGGAGTTGAAATGTTTACGATGAATAAAAAAGTACAAAGTACAGTAGTTGAGACTGAAAATGATGGCTTAGTGCTTACTAAAGCTCGTAAGATTCGCCAATGGCGGAACACATATACTTGGTATCTACTATGTACTCTATTAAATGTAGCGAGGCTGGGGGCGGGAAGGGGGGTTTAAACCCATTCTGGTAATTTTCTGGTCTGTGCCAGCCTAGAACCCCCCTGCCTCGCTACATTTAATAAGGTAGATACTTCGTACGAAAAGGGTTTGCAAGAAATCATCGACACCCCCCTTGTTTCTGCCACACCGCTTTAGGTAATCTGCGGGGAATATCGCAGAATTCGATGTGGTTCTATGGGCAGCTGATCTCACCGCCTATATGGGGGGTGTCAATATTTCTTGCAACCCCCTTTCGTACGAAGTGCTACACGAGCCCAGGAAGGGCTCATTGAAGTGGGACTGCTTCGACGATCTCTTGTGGTTTCCCTTGCAGCCTGCCTGATACTGCGCACCCTTCATTGAGGTGGTGTGCATATTGACGCCCGCCTCACCGCACTGTGCAGCCTGTACCCCATAATAGCGACGTGCATTCCGGAGTGGATAAAAGTGTCTCTTATGTATGTATCTCAAAAGTGATTGATTTTGATAGCAAGTCGGGAACTTGTCCACCGAAGAAGAAAGAAGAAAAAAAAAGATAGACATACAACAGCAGGTATTCGCTGATGGTCACCCACTCAACTACTAATCTGCCGATCTAAAGCTTGTGTATGGCAGAGCGGACGGGATGCCCAATGATCTTTAGTCTATGGTCGTATGTGACATTCTATCGTGCTATTTAAAGTTATATAGCAAGTTGTGAGAGGTGAAGCAGGTACGTGAGACTTTACCAAAAAGGGTTTGGCGGCTACTCCTCAATGATCCGTGATGATTATAACAAATCAGTCACCCAAAACTGGCAATTACGCGCGGATTGGCCAGGCCGAACAAACGTTTAAAGCTTAGTCGGAATGGCTACCCCGTTGTTCATTTTTGCTACAACCGTCTGCCGGCTCATCAATGACCGAAAATGCGGCCAATCGAAGGATCAACTTGCTAAGGTCCTAAAATATGAGACTAAAAGCTAAGCATCCAAACTTGACGTAACGTATCTCCCAGTCTTGGACTAGTTGCTCGTCGGAGTTACTAGTTTGGAGAGAAGAGGTCTAGTAGAAGAATTCCAGCAAGTCGTCGGCTCGATCGTCATTCTCGCTAGCCCTCTCTCTACTACTTCTCTCGATCGACTACTTGGAGTCCCTGAAGGTACAGTCGATAGCAGAACAGATCTCCTCCACTCTGTTTTAAGCCTCCCCTCTCGTCCTGGTCACCCTATACGACTACTCCATTTGTCGTTCCGAGACTTCCTCGTCGATACTGAGAAGCGCGAGACGAATCCCTTCTGGGTCGACGAGAAAGATGCCCACAACAAATTGGCGACCCAATGACTTGAACACTTGTCTGCGGGCGACAATCTCAAAGAAGATATTTGCAATCTTCGGACGCCAAAAAGGCCACGAGCAGATGTTGATAGACAAACGGTAGATTCACACCTACCACCTTTTGAGTTTCTGCTCAAGGTAGCAGACTTTTGAATGGCAATAGATAGCCGTTGCAAGCGATCTCGTAGCTTCTGTGGTTTTCAACGCTTGAAGAGAGGGCGATTAAGGTTTGATTCATAAATATTATTTCCAAGATATTAGGTGAGAGCTTCTAAAAAGGAGTATAATTCCGATGAAAGGGATTTAGCGCTTAATAAATCCGATTCAAATACTATATTATCTTTCAATTTAACCGCTATAAATATTTATAAATATTTATACTTTTAAATCTAAATAAAATTAGGATAAGAAAATATATATTATATAAATTAAATTATAAAATTATATTCTGATTATTAAAATTATTCTAAAAATAAAACTAAAATTAAAAGTAATTTATATTTTAAAAAAAAATATTATTCTTTAAAATTTATTCGTAAATTTAAATTTATTTGAATAAAAGAAATTTTTTATTTAAAAGTTTCCAAGGTTATTTTACAATATTATAAAAGCTTTGGGAAAATTAATTTAATATATTTTAATATAAAAAGTTTTCAAATAAATATAAATATATTTAAATATTCGAAATAAATAATAAATTAATTATTAAAAAAATATTTTCTAATAAATCAAAAGACAAGTAATATAAGTAATGATATTTCATATAGGGTAATCTCAAGGGCAAAGTATTATAGAATTGGTGCTGAAGATTAGCTATACACGTGATATGGCCGCTAGTTTAATTAGAATATTTTATTTATTTTAAGTATTTCTTTTATTTACTTTCTTTCTTCCTCGTTTTGTATTCTAAGAGCAGAGATACTAGATGGAATGGAAGTTATTGATTCCTAGCTAGGCTGTCACACAAAGTTCCAATGTTTTTGAAGAATTTTCAAGTTTGGTGAAGTTCCTCTCGACGATGGATATTGAGGGGGCAATTCAGGGGTTTGGCGACTCCCACACTAAGCCCCATCCGTACACCGCCCACGATAAGCGGCAGAAAAACTTCCAATCTTCAAAAATTCAATGCTCTCAATCACAACTACAACATTCCCATCCTTAGCCCACAATGCCGAAGCAAAAGGCTCCCAAAGGCCCCTCTGCCTCATCGGAGGTCAATGATCCGCGATTCTCGAACTTCACAACTGACCCCCGGTTCCGCCTCCCTTCAAAAAAGCACACAAAGACCAAACTTGACAGTCGTTTCTCGCGCATGCTGAAGGACGATGACTTCTCCAAGTCTACGACCGTCGATCGATATGGCAGAAAGCTAAAAAGTGATTCGAAAAAGAAGGCATTGGAGCGATTATACGTTCCAGAAGACGAAGAAGAAGAGGCAGATGTTGAGGTCGAGGACGACGATGTGGTGGAGAGGGAATTGCAGAAGGCAGAAGGCTATGATCCTGCGCGCGGCGGAGGGTTCTCAAGTTCAGAAGATGAAGATGAGGACGAAGAGGATGGAGGGGTGGAGATTGAGGAGGTAGAAGAGGAGTTCCCGGATATGCAAGCTGAATCTGCGGCTGTGGAGATGGGAGAAGTGAGCTCGAGGTTTGCGGTTGTGAATCTGGATTGGGATCATATCCGGTCTGTAGATCTCATGGCTGTATTTTCGAGTTTTGTAAGGCCGGGTGGAAAGATTCATAAAATTTCGATATACCCGTCTGAGTTTGGCAAGGAGAGGATGGAGAGGGAAGAATTGGAGGGGCCGCCGAAGGAGATCTTTTCAAGGAAGGCAGAGGAAGAGGAAGAGGAAGAAGAAAAGGATTCCGAGGACGAGAGTGAGGACGAGGAAGAACTGGAAGAGAAAATCAAGAAGGATCTACAAAAGGCAGATGATGGGCAGGAGTTCGATGGTGCGGCTCTGCGACAGTACCAGCTCGAACGGCTACGATATTACTACGCTGTGGTAGTCTGCTCAGACAATGACACAGCCCAGAAGATATACGAAGCTACAGATGGAACCGAATACCTCTCTTCCGCGAACTTCTTCGATCTGCGATTCATTCCTGATGGTACGGACTTTGACGACAAGCCGAGAGACGAGTGCGAGAGTACACCAGCTGGATACAGACCTACAGAATTCGTCACGGATGCGCTGCAGCACTCAAAAGTCAAGCTCACCTGGGACACAAATCCAGAGGATGCAGTGCGGAAAGATGCGATCAATAGGGCATTCAGTGGAAGTCGAGCAGAGATTGGAGAAAATGACCTGCGAGCATACTTGGGCAGTGATTCGGATGGTGACGAAGAAGAGGAGGCTCTGGAGGCCCCAGAGGCAGATACGCCCAAATTGTCAAAGAAGGAATTGGCTAGACAAAAGATGCGAGCAGCTTTGGGATTGGCAGACGAACCTGCGAAACCATCGAAGAAGAGTTCTAGTCCTGTTAGAGATATGGAAATTACATTTACAGGTGGTCTAACGTCCACGGAGAAGGGCAATGTGTTCGAGAATGATCCTGCTTTGGCTTTGGAGACTACAGCCGAACGATACATCCGTCTTGAGAAGGAGAGGAAAGCACGGAGAAAGGAGCGGGCCAAGGCGAAGCGAGAAGGTAGGGATCCTGATGCTGTGGCTGAAGAGGCAGACGAACCTGGCGAGAAGGAAGACCTCGGATTCGATGATCCATTCTTCGCCACAGATGAAGCCGTGAAGGAAAAAGCTTCCAAGTCATTGAGGAAGGAAGATCGTCTGAAGAAAAAGGCAGCCAAGGCAGCAGAAGCTGCTGAGAAGGAATCACATCGTGCAGAGCTCGAACTTCTCATGGCAGACAACGGCACCGAGCCCTCAGCGAACATCGACCATTTCGACATCAACGAAATTGCTCGCGCCGAGAAAGCCAAGAAGAAGAAAGGCAAGAAGGCAAAAGAGATTGAGACTGGCAAGAGAGGCGGTCTGCAAGAAGGTTTCGAGATGGATGTTGGCGATAATCGTTTCAGCAAATTATTTGAGAGTCATGAGTTTGCGATTGACCCGAGCAATCCCAAGTTCAAGGGGACAGAGGGTATGAAGAAGCTGCTGGAGGAGGGGAGGAAGAAGAGAAAAGTTGATGGGGATGATGATGGCGTCGAGGAGAAGAAGAGCAAAAAGCGGAAAGATGAGGGAGAGCTGAGTGGTTTGGTGCAGAAGCTCAAGAAGAAGTCGAAAAGGTAGTGTCTTGCTTCTAGAATAGAACATAATGTACGTTAAGCCAAAGCTTCGTTTTGACCCTTAACATTGAGTTTGGCCTTGTTCTTCGGTGCAATGAACACATTTCCCATCTGAATCCAGCTCCCTGCCTCGACGCAAACCCCAAGAACAATCTTAGAGCG